AACATAGAAGTATGAAGACGTAACTTGTAGGTTGAAAAATGAGTTGGTAAAGACGCCAGTATAACTTACATAGGAGCTCGGGCTTCAAACGAAATAAAGACAAGAAAATGGGGATAACTTATTTGTCATTACTTTTTAAATATCGAATTTCACAGTTTATTCTATTCCACAGAAGAACAAATTATGATAAAAAACGTTTTTGACAAATGGCCAAATTTCAAGAATCAATTCCTGTTGAAATATATATGCCTTGTCATAATTCTGCGAGTTTCTAGAACCCTCGTATAAACATGTATATACTCAGATTAGAACATACTACTAAATAAAACAAAGAAAATTAACTTGTTGATGTGTAATCCTTAATGTTTGTGTAGTGAAGTAATACTTATCGGTTAAACATTTATCATTTTAAATAATGACCGATAAAAACTGTTTCTTTATTTTGTAAATTGTTGTGGGCTTCTTGTGCAAGTGTCAGTCAACAAAGGTAACATCATGACCTATATCAATAAGGTGAAATACAAATTATAATAACAGGTAAATATTATGTCTTTCTTTGGCCCTTTACTTTTCAAAATTAGGCGAGACTGGTTCTAATAGATTAAGGCGTCAATACTGATGCCTTTTTCATTAGTATAGCAGTCTAACACGCAGATTACAAGATGAAGTTAATGTAGGTCAGCGTTTATTATACCATATATAAGTAAGTATATTTTAGATTGATATAAGAGCATATAAAACATCACTATCTTTGGAGAAATAAAGATAAGGGTTAAGATTCCTTAACAAATGATTTAAGACAATAACATCTGACAATGGTACTTACTTCTTTCCAATATTGAATTTCTATACGGGTCTAGACATCCCGGTCACTATTTATGAACCGGCAATAGCTCCAGCAAATCTAAAACGAGATCTCGCGTGACTTCATGATATTTACTTCAAACGTCGTCAAATTCAACACATTCAATTATTTTATTGCAATACATTGTTACTCAACTTTTATTAGTCTTTAATTGGAAAAAGTTGTTCTTTAGGTTTCTTTTTGAATAGTTAATCGGTTGCCATTATTTCCTGTTTATACTCTCCATCAGTTAAACATTAATTTGCATTGATTTTCAAACGTCTCATTAACCATGATCTTTTATTGTTGTTGTAGCTTTTTTCCACCCGACGCCTTTATTTCTTTATTCCAAATGTGACTCTTAATAAATTGTTTTTTCCAAAACACTCTATGGACATATATATTTTGCCAGCCTTCCCTGCTTCAGTAATGTCTCCAACAGCTGTAAGTGTAGGTTTTTTTTATCGTGCTTGGGATTGAGAAAATTGTGATGATGACTATTCTAATATTTTGCTATCTTTCCTTTTTCAAATGCTGCCTTCAGAAAATGCCGGTTTTGGTATCTTAGTTTTTTTTCTATTGTGCTTGGAGTGGACAAGATTGTGATGAGGGACAAAATTGTGATGATGATGTGGCGTTACCTATGTATTTATGTTAATGCTGTGCATTTTATTTTAGCATGTATACGTTCAGGTTTCTTGAACCAATTATTTGGCCTCTAAGTGCAGACCTGGACTAACATCACTGTCCATCAATCTTATATTTTTACTTGTTAACGATACAATATCATTTAAAGCTAGTGACAAATAGCAATCAAAGATTATAGCATTGACACAAATAAAAACGTGTATAACCACCTTGTATTGGAGCAATGGACATGATAAAGACATAGTTATTGAAGGTCTTACAAAATCAGGCCTGAATAATAAAAGCACAGTTACAGAGTACATCTTTCGTATGTCTTTGGTAGATGCTGTCAATTGTATTACTACGCATATAAGTCGTTAAAAATTTGCTAAATCCAATCAATTACAAACCGTGGTGTAAATATAGACAATACAGCATTTCGCGGCTTGGTATTGACAATACATATCGGTATATCACTTCATTGACATTAATTACAATCATTACACTGAAGTTAACCAGCTCGTTGCCGACATTTATGCATACGTCCATAAAGTGTTTCGGAATAGCAATTTATTAGGAATCATGTATGGAAGAAAGAATAAAGACGTCTGGTGGATAGATCAAATTGGAAAATAAAATATCGTGAAATAGAAAACGTGTTGTAAACAAGGAGGAATACTGTAACAAATGATAAATTTATCAAAGACTCTTAAAATACTTTTTCGGGGGGTTTGAAGGGGGGCGGAGTCCCCCTCATCGCCAAGAAAATTTTGGACTTGTGAGAGGCTGAAAATGACCCCAGGTCGATCATAAGGTAACGTGTAACCAACGCTGAAAAGCCTTTGACTCTATCTCAATCCCTTGAGAAGTTGCAGCACTTTGAAATAAATTTTGATGTAAAAATCGAGGCAAAATAGTGATTTTTGGTAATTTTGAGATGTCCCCTCGTTGCCATGGGAACAGAAAATTTAAGACTGAGCATGTCCTTACAAAGGCAATGGTCCAGTCAACATTTGTGCCAAGTTTGATCAGTATTGAAGCATTTTTCATAGTTTCATAGCAGTTTGAACATGTAACAGGAGGCTTTTCACTGAAAATGGCCATTTCTCACAATATGCCCATGTGGGAAAGGGTTAAATCTCACGGAATTTACCAAACATTTATCGAATATTAATATATTCTGTGCATTGACCGTATAATCAGTATGGAATTGACATGTTAATCTTTAGCATGCTTTCTCTGTCATCATAATGGCAGAAGTGACGTTTAAAAACAGTACACTAAATCACATGGTTCCATGGTGTAATGGTTAGCACTCAGGACTTTGAATCCTGCGATCCGAGTTCAAATCTCGGTGGAACCTTACTTTTAATTTTTGAAGAAAAGTTTCATTGTGGGCGTTAAACCAATACACGTTCAATTTATATCTCTGGTGAGCATTTTTGCTAAAATTAAGCTTTACAATGTGATTTTTAAACGGACATATTACTTGTTAGATAAATCTGAATTTCTTATCTTGATTTTGATGAATCCCATTTGATATACTCTGTTTGTTATAATATCAATACCAAGTATATACTTCACATTCTTATATACTTCAGATGGTTTAGGGAATCACATGGTTCCGTGGTGTAATGGTTAGCACTTAGGACTCTGAATCCTGCGATCCGAGTTCAAATCTCGGTGGAACCTAACATTTTAATGTTGAAAAGAAGTTACATTGTAAACACCAAAACACACGTTCGATTAATATCTTTTTATGAATTTGCTCAAATTAGACCATGATCCATACAATACTATTTATTTCTTTTAATGGAAGTATTTTTTAAAAAACGTTTTTGTTTTTCAAACTGCGTGTAAGTTTGCTCTAAATCTATGTTATACGTTATCTTTTGTATTATTTTTACATGATTCTTTAATTTGATTATCAGTTTTTATTCTTTCAATATTTTGTTTCAGTTCATGCATTCTTGTGTCGATTTGTTTGTCTGTCTGTTTTAACTTTTGTTGTTTGTGTATCTTTTATTGATTTGTGTGAGTTCATACGTACTTGTATGTGTAGTGTATGTGTACGTGTGTGACTGTATGTGTTCCTTAAAATGCTATGCTCATCTTTGAGTAAAACATTTTTATTGCAGAAATTTATTAAGATCTATAAAATTCTTACTGGATATTTCTTATTGAAATACAAGGACGTACAAACTATGTATTTGAATCTCTGTTCATTATTACGGCGGGTCCTTTTTTAAAAAAACTGCCTTTTTTAATAACACAATATATCGAAAGTGTGTCCAGCGTGAAGGATTTAAAGAATAACATATCTCTTTTTGTCTTAAGTCAAAACATTTTTTTATTTTTTTTTACAAAAGACTGTGTAGCAATGATTAATATTTTCAAATATCAAATTTGAACCAAGTATATTTAACGGTAAGGGGAAATCGTGCGACATTTAACGTTGCAATTGCGACATTTAAAGGTAGAAGATTTTGCGACAATTAGCGCCAATCGTGACATTTAGCGACGTTGCGACATATAACGGCACCAAAAAACATTACTTATTCCTTAAATGTATGCATGTTAGACTGGGAGCGTGTACACAATATACAACTATCCTCTGCTGATATTTATATTTTTATGTCTAACTGAAAAAATATGTACCCGGTAAATTATAAAATGAAAAAATGTGTTAATTTGTTCTCTCTACTCTATTGATTTATGGTAATTTTGTTCGCAAATATTTTTAGAGTACCATCAAGAAAAAAATATCAACGGTATAATGTTATATATTACTAATAAGTATTTGTTAATGACAAACACTTAAAATACTCTTTCAGACTTGATTGGCAGTTATCTATTTTTAGATTTATCTTTCTTCAGTTTAATGTATTGTGGTATTGTATTTTGTAGGAGTACAAATATTTGAATTCATTAAGTTACTGTACACAATGTGTGCTAACAGGTTTTTTTTTTTTTTTTTTTTTTTTTTTTGGTATTTAACATGATAATGAAATTATCTGCAGTTACTGTAGATTTTATACATTCTCTTGTAGTTTTTGTTGAACATAGAATTTTATATTCCGCAACATCACCTTCGTCAAATGGATTTGTTGAACAACTACAGAGACCAACAGTATGTTATGTTTCTCAATTTTGATTCCTGTCACGGCCTGTACATATGAGTATATTGATGACAGGTGGTAATTAAATGTAGGTTTTGTTCTGCTCATTATTACTTATTCTTATTATATAACCTCAAAACCTTAAATTATTCTTTGTAGAATGATAGCATCTATTGGATTATTACTACCCCCGAAATAAAAGATCATAGTAAACGAGACGATTGCGAACTAATTGCCAGTAATAATCAATATCAGATGAAAGCGTTCTTAACTGTTTCCCAGCAGGCACATCAACGTTGTTTCAACGTTGAATTATGGTCAGATTTCAACGTTGAAATAAGGTTGGATTTATATTCGGATTTGAAACTTGAAACAACGTTGAAATTTAACGTTGATACAACGTTGCAGCTTCAACGTTGAAGTTTGAATGTCATTTCAACGTTGAAAACCCACCATACTTTAATTTTTGGATAAAAAGCAAAGTAACCAAGTTTAACAAAATATCAAGACAATATTAAATACTTCAGATATTTTATTTCAAAAATACAGTTCAAGTGCAGCTTAAATTCACTTCAATAGTTTTAACAATTAAACTACAATCTGTTCCAATCTTTTCTTCTAGATCTTTCTGGGTATGTCAAGTGTTTGAGTACTTCTTTGGCTGTCTCTTACTGCTTCTGCAAATAAAAATAAGAAGTTTGTAGTTAAAAGTGACTTGGTCAATCTCAAATTATACATATAATTATTCAACTTAGTGATTTGTTTTTATCTTAAAATGCTTTTCTCTAAGATTTACATCATAAAACAGCACAGAAATTGAAACATATCTAAGTTTCATATTGACAGCAAATACTGTATATAAGACAACAAAATCTTTTTAAAAAGTCTCACCTATGATCGGTAAGAAAAACTGCTCCCGGTCAGTTCCTTGCAGCATATTCCCAAGAAATTAACATTCTATAGGCTCTAGCTAAGACCATTTTATGCAGCATCCTGAAATCAATAAAAATGTTAATTTTATATAAATAATGTTACATGAATATTCCGAAAATTATATATTTTAAGACAAGATAAATATCCAGTAGTTGAAAAATGTATACTTTGTATAGTAAAGAAATTCAAATATATAAATTAATAAGAATAAATTTCAATGTAACAAACCTGACAGTCCTTTTCATGTTGAATGTATGGTATACAGGCTACAGCTGCAATACTCTAAATTTCAACCAGGGCAAGGATCTAGAATATAAAATAATATATAATAAAATAGAAATAGATTTATTATTCCCCATAAATTTACGACTATTAAACTTTAAAGTTTAACACTCAAATTTGTTATTTAACTTAATAATAACGTTTTTTTTTCAAGCTCATTAACACTGTATTATACTATTACTAAAATATAAACATAGTTATATATATTGACGAATCGTCTTGGGACGTAAATTATGTGGGCTAAACTACTTTATAGGTTATAGGTTTCAATTTTATAATTGATTAAATTCTAATTAGGATATAGTACAGACAATCGTTAAATAATATGAAAAATAATTTTAAGAAAGACAAGATTTGTAAAATCATAAATTGCCAAGGACATCAATAACTTCATGCTTACAAGGCCTACCGATCCCAAATCTTTCAATTAGGTCGCGAAAACGTGTCAAATCAACTCAATCATGTGTTTTCATCTCTCATTTATTTCATAAAGTAAATTAAAGTAGAATTTTAAGAATAAATAATAATATTTTAGAAAATAATCAGTAAACTAAAGTAAAACATCACGGTAATACCTCCGAAATCCAAATAAATTGCCAATCGTGTTGTTTTCAAATTTTCCCAACAGCGCCACCATTTGCACAAACGATAATCATAGACACAAACAAAATCAGAGATCGCAACAATTACTTCCCTTGACCAGCGTTATTTTATGAACGGGGTTTTGACTAATATCAATTTATTAATCAATATTATTCATAAAGAACTAAAAAATAAAAGAACAAACAACAAAACATAATAACTAATATTTAAAGCGTTAATAGAAAATGAAAAATTATTTCCAACTTTATTTGTTTCAGCGCTAATTTTGAATTTACGGAAAAAGATTGTAACGCAAATTTTCCTGACAAAAATCACTTACAGACTAATTCAATAAAGGAATAATAACACAAAATTAGTGGTATTAAAGTTTATATAATGATTAAACTAAATGTAAAACTTCGACCATAAACAACGTTGAATCAACGTTGTATATACATTGGCTATATATCCGTATGGTCGTCCATAGTTGAATATTGGTTGAACAACGTCACGACCATATTTCAACGTTGTTTCAACGTTGAAACAACGTCGAGTGCCTGCTGGGTTTTCTTTCTTGCTGAAAACTGTTAACGTGCAATAATGTTCACTAATTAATTACTTAAACTTAAAACACACACAATAAGTTTCCCAACAAAAGACAAATAATTAAACAGAATAATTATTACACGCATGTTCAGGTTTTGGTTCATTGTAAAGCTTAAGTCATTTACACGATATTTTACGACTTCATTGCTTGTTTTGATTAGTAAGTGAGAAACATTTCGTGTTTGATTTGTAGAGGTGACGGTCGTTTAATGGTTTGGTAAGTAAGGTTGGTTCATGTCTAAAGGAACAGAATTTAAAATCAAGCTCTGTGGTATTTTCTGATCTTTGCAATTTAAACCATACTGACTATCTGTATGTATTTTCCTGTATAAGTTTATTTTATATACTATAATTCATCTTACGCAGCGACTGCGTTTAGATTTTTTTCTATAACAGTTTGAGATTGATACATATGGAATTTTGCATGACTAGAGTTGCGTCAAAAAATCATTTTTTTCTATTTTTATGACAGCCACACTTTATCCTTGCATATCGTGGCTACTTCCTTAAAAAAAGACACTTCAAAAAAAAAGTTGCCTGGACTAGAATTTGAACCTTAGTCCTCTCACACCCTTTTAATGCGCTGTAATTCGTTAAATGCCTACATTAAAAATTATTCTTTCTTTTAAATTGCTGGTTTTTAAGGCAGTTTTGAGTGAGAACTACTTTGCGTTGTTAGGTCTGTTAGGAAATTTTGTGTTAGACCGTGGATGTTAGCTTTGTATTTACTGATCATGCGATCAGAAAATACAAAAATAGGAACGGTTTTGTCCTTGTTGAAAGATGAGCATGACCATTACAGATATTTAACATGGAAGGTGTGAATTAAAGTAAAGCATAGGTCTGGAATATTTGTATAAGTGATAAGTGTGAGTTTCCACACTGAACCATCAAGTCATTGTAATTATTATCACAATTTATATGACTAACTACATGCAATATAAATGTGTTAAATGATAATTTCTTTAAAAGAATTTATAGAAAACGACTATTAAGCTATGAACAAATAAAATCAAACGATTCCTCTCAAATAAGGTTCAGTATGATATATAAAAACACCATAGAGTTTCTAAGATGTACTTAATGGTAAGCATTCTGGACTTTGACTTTAAATATTTTATGAGTGGCGGTAGCAACGAGTGAAATATAATAATTTCATACCACAGAAAGTATAATAAATCCCGTTTTTTAGATAAAGAACTTGATTTTTTCTGTTTGTTATATACACTTTTCTCTTTCTTGACAATATAATTTGAAAAACTTACCCTTTGGCTGGCTTTAGAAGAAATAAGTGCAGCAAATAAAGAAAATATGTTTCACTGCAATGAAAAAAATATCTATAATAAATAGCAATATTTCTGTGTTTATTTTGGTATTTGACTTACATGTCACAGCAGATAAAGTTTGGAAAAAAATCAGAAAACATATTTCATAAGTTGTCATAAAAATAATTAGTCATATATCTAGTCATTTTCCATGAATAAGCAACTCGGTTCCATGGTGTAATGGTTAGCACTCAGGACTCTGAATCCTGCGATCCGAGTTCAAATCTCGGTGGAACCTAACATTTTCTTTAAATATGTCATTTACAGATCTGCAACAATATAGGATAAATATCTTGAAATTAATTTTTGGTATGAGAAAAAGAATACATTTTCTTTTAATTTCAATAGATGACGGTTATTTAGTCATGTTTACCTTAGGTAGGCCGTCGAGAAATACGTGCTTTTGCAATAATAATCTATTTACATTAGTTTTGTCCGACATAATTGTATAATTTTAAACTACTTATGTACACTAAACGAACATTTAAAGCTGGGGATATTCAACTTTTATTTAAATTTAATTCCTTTTCATTACAAGATGTAAGTGTGTTAATTTAAGAAATGCAAATACTTGAATTTTATAAAGGTATGTCGCTAAATGTACGATTGATTTAAATAGAAACGTTTAATGTTTTACATATATATGTTATAGTGCCGTGTTTATTACAAATTGTTAATTGTACGATGTAAAAAATAAGGCTTTCGAAGCCTTATCTTTATCTATTAGCTTTATTTTTTTCTAATGTCTGTTTCGATGTTGTTATTATTGCTGAAAATGAAACTAATTTGCAGTAAATGTTAAACCACCTAACTTACTGAAACCTTTAATAAAAAACGTAGATAATACATAGTAGTCTCTTAGAATGTCTATGTGCATTGTACATGCCTATGTATAAATTTTATTTCTTGATGTTATGAATTGTACAATGACGAAACTTAAATAAAACATTAAATATATATAACTTGATTTACAATGAAAATGCAAGAAAGCAGTTTATATAAAATCACTGAGAACTTAAATCCTTAATTTAAATGATCGTTACCATTTATTTACACAATACATTTGTATATTTTTACTTCATTGTAACGTTAAAATGAAAACGACGTTATGCAGTTCATTAAAACCAACAACATAAATATGATAACCATGCAAAACAAATACCTGAAGAGCGGCCAATCAATGTTAGATGAAGACAATAATGTCCCATGTGAAACCAGTACCGGTGAGTTCCAGGATTTGTGGGCAGGCGAATAATGTTGCAAAAGTTGTTGCAAATATTTGTTTCGAGAAATATCTTTAAAAAATAAGATTAATTACTGTGACGGAAAACAACAGACAACATAGAAGTATGAAGACGTAACTTGTAGGTTGAAAATTTAGTTGGTAAAGACGCCAGTATAACTTACATAGGAGCTCTGGCTTTAAACGAAACATAGACAAGAAAATAACTTATTTGTCATTACTTTTTAAATATCGAATTTCACAGTTTATTCTATTCCACAGAAGAACAATTTTTCATATAAAACGTTTTGGACAAATGGCAGTGATGTTAAATAAGGCCAAATTTCAATAATCAATTTCTGTTGAAATAAATGCCTTGTCATAATTCTGCCTGTTTCCAGAACCCTCGTATAAAAATGTATATTCTCAGATCACAACATTCTACTAAATAAAACAAAGAAAATGAACTTGTTTATGTGTAAACCTTAATGATTGTGTCGTGAAGTAATACTTATCGGTTAAACATTTATCATTTTAAATAATGACCGACAAAAACTTTTCTTGATTTTGTAAATTTATGTGGGCTTCTTGTGCAAGTGTCAGTCAACAAGATTAACATTATGACCTATATCAATAAGGTGAAATACGAATTATAATAACAAGTAAATATTATGTCTTTATTGGTAAAATTACTTATCGGTGCCCTTTACTTTTCAAACTTAGGCGAGACTGGTTCTAATAGATTAAGGCGTCAATACTGATGTTTTCTTTTCATCAGAATAGCAGTCTAACACGCAGATAACAAGATGAAGTTAATGTAGGTCAATGTCAAAATATACCATATATAAGTAATTATATTTTAGCATTGATATACGAGCATATAAAATCTTATTATCTTTGGAAAAATAAAGATAAGTGGTTTAGATTCTTTAACAAATGATTTAAAGGTATAACGTCTGACAATGATACTAACTTTTTCCAATATTGGCTTTCTATACGGGTCTAGACATCTCCACCCGCAATAGCTTCCAACAAATCTTAAACGAGATCTCGCGTGATTTCTTGACGTTACTTCAATCAAAACAATGACGTCGTAAAATTCCGCAATATACGAGCATTCAATTATTTTATTGCACGCAATACATTGATACTGTGTATATAACGGACTCAACTGTTATTTGTCTTTAATTGGAAAAGTTGTTCTTTAGGTTTCTTTTTGAATAGTTAATTGGTCAGCATTCTTTACAGTTTTCTCTCCATCAGTTAAACAGTAACGAAGCTTTCATCTTATCTTGATTTTCATAGGCGATACGTTTTCAATCGTTTCTTTAATCATGATCTTTTATTTCCATCTTTTTCACCAGACATCTTTACTTCTTTCATTTGTGACTCTTAACAAATTGTTATCCCGAAACACTTTATGGACGTATAGATAAATGTCACCAACGAGCTAGTTATTTTCAGTAATGATTACAATTAAGTAGTGATATACCAATATGCATTGTCAACTCCCTACCAACAAAAGCTGCATTGTCTATATTACACCATGACTTGTACTTATTCGGATGCAGAAAATCTTTAACGACATCTAGCGTGTGTTCGTTTCGTTTAATTTCAAATCAAAACAAGGACGTCGTAAAATTTCGCGATAAATGAGCATTTAATTACTAATATATTACATTTCAATACACGCATAGTGGGTTCGATTAGTTATTGTCTTTAATTGAAAAATTTATTCTTAACGTTCATTTATTTGTTTAAATAATTCATTTGTTAGTGTTCCTCTCTAGTTACATTTTTCATCAGTAAAACATTAATGAACGCTTTCATCTTGCATTGATTTTTATCAGCGATACGTTTTCAATCGTCTCATTAACCATGATCTTTTATTTTCGGTTTTTCGATTTTTACCAATACTCGTCCGCCTTCCTTTTATCAAAACTGACTCTTAATAAATAGTTGTCCAGATTCACTATAAAGAAGTATAAATAAATATTGATAATGGGTTCATTT